AATGTGTAAGCAGAGGTTACCTGCAGTGAACACTACAAAATGAGCAGCTGAAGAGGAATAAATATTTTTGACATTTCCTATGACATTCAAGCTTGCCCCCCATCTCCCCCCAACCCCTACCCAAATAAAAAGACTTGTACATAAGGCAAGGCCCTGATATTTTAGGATTGGGTTAACTATTAGGCTGCATGCACACACCTAGTAGGTGCTTACTTAAAATATAGTATTAATTGGTTTCTTGGTTAAGTGTATTTCATTCTGGGTAAGTTGCACTGTTTAGTTAATGTTTCCAAGCAGAGCAGCAGAGGTAATGCTGCCTGAGAGGTATGGTTAACATTGATGTTCAGGAACTGCTGTTTGCAGTGTTTTCTGAGAAGCATCGCCCTCTGATGGACAGAGCATATAAAAAGGGAAACTAGTGAAAGGGTGGTTGATTGCTCTCTCCATGGGAAGAGAAGGAGAGAGCTGCTGATGATGTAATTGATACTCTGCTACCTTTACCACCCCTCATGGGAGCCCAGTTGGAGTTCCAAGGAATATGGATTTTGCTGCTAATGAACTTTCTCAGCTATTCAAGGTATGGTATCTCATGGGGCACAAGAGAGCACCAGGGACACACTAAAAAGGGCACTTAGAGGACTTGTACAGGAATGTGTATTTAAGGTGTTTCTAAGAACTGCTCATTTGTCACATTTAACTACTTCAGTAAAAGAACTTTGTTGTTAATTCAATCTGCCTGGTCTGAAGTAATTAAGGGATGTATGCATGGCATATCAAAGAACTAGGGCTTGAAACAGGAAACCATAAGAGAGGAGGAAGTAGTTATATCCATGTCTAATAAGCAGGAAGCTGTCCAAGGGAAGCTGTGGAACCATAGTTAATGACAACGGAACAGCACGATGTGCATAAGCAACCAGCCATTCAGTAAGAGGGTGACATAGTCCAGGTGACAGATGCCCTGGCAGTGAAGGAGCTTATGAGCTTGGCTTCTTCCCTAGCGATCAGTACCCCACATACTGGGTTTGTTATCATGGCACAGGGCACCCTAGGTACCCTACCTATATGTCATGGATTAAGGAGTGAGGCCTTGGGGGTTAAAAGAAGCTCATATATGAAGTAAGAACAGCTTCCTGATGTCCAAGAGTAGTGTGGACCAAAGTCACTTGGAGTAAGTCGACAGTTATCTGTGCTGGTGGGGTTGGGTACAGACTCTGTGGCACTAGCCGAGAAATGCGGTATTGATCAAAGGAGAGTCTGTGTGGAGGCTGTGCTGTGTTGGGATTTAAAGAGTTAAAAAAAAACATGTGGAGGAGCCTCACTTTGAAGATAGAGTGGTGCCTAACCAATGATTTCATGTGACGGCAGCCTCAGCCCATAATTAGGGGCACCAGTGAGAGCTTGCTTTAGGTCCCCCAGCTGAGAGTGTTAAGCCCTACTCACACACGGGTGTATTAAAATACTCTCTCCCTACACTTTACCTTTCCCCCAGGAGCTGGCAGAAAAATACAACTTAAAATATGCTCGTTTTGGCATGTATTTGTGTGTATGATGTATAGAGGCATATACACATAAACAGTAAATATAAACCAGAAGAGCACAAACATCTAAGTGTAGAATTTTAATGGGAGATAAAGGATTAAAGATAAATGCACTCACTCTGTGTAAGAGTGTAAGAGAGAATAAGGCTTGTCATCATGCTCAGAAAAGGACCCACTGGAGCCATGGAAAGCTGCAGAGTTTGGCAGGCAAGCTGGTGGTGAGAGAAGAGCCAGTGCAAAGCTGACACTGTGAACAGCAAACACATCAATGGCTTCCAGGTGTTAAAGATGGCACTGGCTGGGAGGGCAGATACAAGTTCACTGGAACCAGTGGAGGCAGCAGAGATCAGCAGGTAAGTGGTTGGACTAGCAGAGTTTAGCAGGGGAGTTGGTGGTGAGAGAAGAGCCTCTGCATACTAGCACTGTGAACCGGAAACACATTGGCGGCTTATGGATGTTACAGATGGTGCCAGCTGGAGAGGAAGATTCAAATTCAGGCTCCAATGGCTTCTCTCGGGTGGCCAAGATGTCAGCATGTTTAGGGGCATGGCTACGCATTTAAGGGCAGTAGGACTGTCACTTTCTCAAGCCAAAGAAATGATTGGTTGGGACTCAATCCTATTTATGAATTGAGAGCAGAAATGGATGCATAAAGTCTCTGGGCACAAGACTATTGAGGAAGGTGGACTATCCCAGAGCCAATGTCAACAAATGGCAAGTTTAATTTAAAATAAATTTAATTATAATAACTGTCTCTGGGACATCACTAGGAGAAATGTGAAGACATAATGTGCGGGTGGAATAAACAAGGAATAAAAAATTAAGACAAAAAGGAGATAGAAATTCAAAAGTAGAAATAGGAAAAAAAATAAGAGCTAGTCCGTATGGGTGTATATAGGTGGTAATAAATGAATAGAGGTAAAAAAAAATCACATTATGAATCTCAATGTGATACACATAGTGATCTGAAACAGGATACCCAAATTGATATTGAGTAGGTTATTGTCAAATTAAATGACTGTGTTGAGTTCAATTTCCTCATTAAGACCATGAGGGCTCAATGCATTGATTGAGAAGATCCAGAACTTTTTGTGTTCACAGAGTTTGTTGAAATGTTCTGCAACAAAGATTAAGTGGTACATTTTCCAGTATCCACAGGGGGAAATGACAGTCAGTCTCCTTAAAGTGCCTTGGTATGCTGTAATTGGTACTCCCTTGTTCTATAGCAGGTGGTGTTTGCCAAGTCTAACTCTGAGTGCTCTAATGGTGTGTCCCACATGCAATTACCCACATGGGCATCATAGGCAGTATATATAACAAAGTCAGTGGAAAAACTGAAAAATTGGGACATGGGGTATAGTTTCTCATTGAAAGCTTTTTGTCTATGTTCTACAAACTAGCAAGTTAGACACTTAGGTTTTTTTGCACTGAAACATGCCGACTAAATTGCAGAAAAGCTTTAGAGAATCTATGGCTTTGAAGTTTGCTTGAGGATATATGGATCTTTACATTGCAGGCCATGCGGTAGGTAAACATGGGTCTATTAGGGAGGAGAAGCCCCAATATGGGGTCTTGTAGGATATTCCAATGATTATTGACTATTTTTTCCATGTTTCTAAATCTAGAATGGAACCAGATGATAACAAGTATTGAGCCTGGATCATTAGTGGTTGTTACTTTTTCATGTGTTTGGAGATGTGAAAGCTTCATCAACTAGCATGGAATGATAGCCTTAGTTCCTGAATTTTTGTTTAAGCACTTTGCTTTGTGAGACATATTCTTTTTCTAAGGCGCAGTTCTTCTGGAGGCAATGAAATAGACTATTGAGGATGTTGGCCTTCCATTTGGATGATGACAACTGTTAAAATGGACCGTTGTTGAATTATAAGGTCGATCCATTTGAGGGTGCAAAACCCAGCAAGATTTCCGCACTCATTACCCAAATCTTCTTCCGGAAAGTCACAATGGGAACAATTAACTAAAGGTTATCACATGTTATGTCGGTCAGGTGACCACATATCGCATTTGGATACTGAAAGATGTCAGTTCAGTGTTGCTAGTATGTGGTATTTACTGCAAACAGCAAAAACACTTGGTAAACCTTCAAGTCAATTCACAGAAGGAAATAAATAATGAATTGAAAGTCATCAGCTGTCAGCGGAATATAAAAAAAAGAATTCCCGGCAATTAAAAGTTAAGAAAAAAAAAAAAAAAACGACGTAGGCTTCCCCCATCCATACCAAGCTCTTCGGGTCCGGTATGGATTTTGAACTCCCACGCCAAAATAAAAAAAAAAGGGCATGGATTCCCCCCCAAAATACATACCTGACCCTTATCCAAGCATGCAGCTTGGCAGGCCAGGAAAAGGGGGACAAGCAAGCATCCCCCCCGAACAATACCAGGCCACATGCCCTCAACATGGGGGGCTTTGGGCTGGGTGACCCTGCATTCTTGTGACATCATGTGACAGCATGCCCTGGTCGGTGATGTCACAAGGGGCAGGGTCACACGATAATGTTACTGGATGGCTCCTCCCCTTAGTTATTTAAAAACTGTCAAATGGCGGGAGCTTTCGTCAAGAACTGAGCCTTTTTTTTTCTTTTTTTTCAGGTCGGTGGAGGCCATGTACCCCTACTCATTCACATGGGGGGGTGGGATCTAGGGCCCCTTTTGGTAAAGGGGGCTTCCAGATTCCAATAAGCCCTCCACTTTCAGACCCCCACAACCACCTGCCTGGGTTGTGGGGAAGAGGCCCTTGTCCCCATCAACATGGGGACAAGCTGCTGTGGGGGGGGTGGGGGGCAGAGCCCCCCTGCCCCAAAGCACCACCCATGCTGAGGGCATGTGGCCAGGTATGATTCGGGGGGGCACTAGTTCGCCCCCCCTTTCCTGACCTGTTGGGCTACATGCACGGATAAGGGTCTGATAAGGATTTTGGGTGGACCCAATGCCATTTTTTTTTCATTTTGGCGCGGGAATTCTCCTCAAAATCCATACCAGACTGGAAGGGCTTTGTATGGATTGGGGGGGAGACACCACACCTTTTTATCTTACTTTTTAATTGCCACCAATTCTTTTTTTTACATTCAGCTGTCAGCGGGTTCCCATTATTGCATATTTTCACTACTAAAATACCACATGACTGACGCATGCTGTGTTTTAGTAGCTATTTTTTACTGAATGGCAAAATTTTTTTTAAAAACACTGTGTGGTATCTTACCGCATACTTGGATGTGAATTGTCCTCACTGTTTTAACCGCCTCCCGCCCGCCATATAGCAAAATGACAGACGCAAGGCGGTTCTCTCGTTCTGGGAGGACGTTATATGACATCTTCCCATTCTAACCACGCATGCGCGGCTTCGGGAGCGTGCAGTGCTGCGATCGGCGGTGCGCTGTGTCCCTCAGACACAGTGGATCACCGATCAACGGAAAGAGCTGAAGATGTCAGCTCGGTCATGTGATCAGCTGTGTCCAATCACAGCTGATCACATATAAACAGAAAAATGCTTGACAGCTCGTGAGGAGAGGAGAGACGGTAATCGGCATTCCTCGGAGGGGACATATACAGAGATCATCAGAGCACTGATGATCAGTGTGCCCTGATGATCTGTGTAGCCCCAGCAGCGCCACCTGTCAGTGTCCATCAGTGCCAGCTCTCAGTGCTCATCCATGCCACCCCACCTGCCAGTGCCCTTCAGTTCCACATCAGTGCCACATTTCAGTGCCCATCAGTGCTGCCTATCAGTGCCGCCTATCAGTGCCACCTATCAGTGCCGCCTATCAGTGCATATATGAGTGCTGCCTTTCAGTGCCCATCAGTGATGCCTGTCAATGCCCATCAGTGCCACCTACCAGTGCCTCCTCATCAGTGCCCATCAGTGCCACCTATCAGTGTCCATCAGTGCAGCCTAGCAATGCCCATCAGTGCAGTCTCATTAGCACACATCAGTGAAGGAGAAAAATCACTTATTTACAAAATTTTATAACAAAAACTAAAAAAAAACTTTTTTTTTTCAAAATTTTCAGTGGTTTTTGGTTTGATTAATAAAGAATAAAAAACCCAGAGGTGATTAAATGCCACCAAAATAAAGCTCTATCTGTCACAAAAAAATGATAAAAATTTTATATGGGTACAGTGTTGCATGACAGCACAATTGTCATTCAAAGTGATCAGTGCTGAAAGCTGGAAATTGGCCTGGGCAGGAAGGGGGTATAAGTACCCTGTAGGCTTGTGGTTAAAATGTGTAAGCCCTGAGCTGTGATTTTCAAAAGGATATATTGTTTTAAGAACAAAATGTCCCACCATTGTGTGATGTCAAACTTTTCTCATTGTTCTAACATATAAAAAATATATTGCAATGATGAGATGGTAGATGGAACTAAAATCTCTGGTGATAAGGCAGCAGGGGAGGGCAAAAAGATGTCTTTTGTTCTTGTCAGAATCAATCTGATGAAGAATGTCAATGTTCAAGATGTCAGGATCACCAAGATGCAGCATGTAGGTACTTAGGAGAAATAATGGATAAATGGATAAAAAACTACTGTGCTGAGAGGTGCCCTTTAAAGCTAAAATAATGTGGGGGTGGGTAGGCGGATGATGAAAAGTCACTAGATCTGCAGCTCCACATAAAAAGGTCTTGAGCTACCTAATGCATAAACAGTAAATACAAGCAGAAGAGAGCAAACATTTAGGTGTAGAATTTTAATGGGAGATAAAGGGTTAAAAAACAAATGCACTCACTCTGTGTAAGGGACAATAGGACTTGTCATCATGCTCAGAGAATGATCCATTGGAACCATGGAAGGCTGCAGAGTTTGGCAGGCAAGCGGCTGGACAGGCAAGCAGCTGAACTAGCAGAGCTTGGCATGGAAGATAGTGGTGATAGAAGAGCTGCTGCAAAGCTAACACTGTGAACCACAAACACATCAGGTGCTTCCAGGTGTTACAGATGGCGCTGGCTGGGGAGGCAGATTCAAATGCATGCTGCAATGGGTTCCCTAGCTGGCCATGACATCAGGACATTTAGGAGAACATTTACTCTGGCTACTAGAATGTAATCATGTGCACGTGCACATCATTACATGCATTTCCATGCACATATGTATGAATTATGCCAGCAAGTTTTCTTTGAACGCAGGTTTGTGGCAGTTTTTATGCCACTTAAGCTGTGCTAAAATAGTCTAAATGCCACAATGTGCATGGACAAATTGCACATTGACTGACATAGAGATGCATTCAGAGGCATAAAACAACTGAAAAATGCCTCTAAGGCCTCATGCGCACTGCAGCTAAAATTGCCTGATTTACAGATGTTTTACATTTTTTTTCTTCCTATGAATGCCCTTCCATGTTAGCCTATGTGTTCATGCACACATAGGCATTTACAGGCGGGAGCGTTTAGAGGAAAAAAACAAACATCTTTTGCGCATTCAGAGAGATTTGGGCAGAAAAAAATGCACAAAAGCTCTCAAATGCACTCATTTATGCGAGTTAATGCATTCTAAAGGCTGGAATAAATTAATATTCTGGTCAATATAATGCATTAATGCCAAACATGTGAATGGACAAAAACTTGCACGAACAAGCATGAAAATAGAAAAGGTGTCCAAAGGAATTCATGGTGCATGGAGGCTAAAAGCTATATTTATTTCTACCCATGTAAATAAGGCAGTTCTGACATGTGGTTTTTAATCATTATAACCTTTATTCTATCAATTTCTCATCAATGCTGGTGTGCTGGTAACTTCTATAAATACAGAAATGCAGTGCTTGCAATGTTTAACAAAGCATTTCATTGCACTTTAGAGTTCTTTCACACACAGCATTGTCTGCTCTGCTCAGCAGGGGACCTGTAAGTAGATACCCTGCTGAATCCTAGTTTAAAGTGGAGCTCCACCCAAAAGAAGAAGCTCTGCTTGTCTGCCTTCTTCCCCTTCCCCTCCACTGCCACATTTGGCAGTTTTTGGAGGGGAGGGGGGAGGGGGGAGCGGGTATCTGGTTTTGACAGGTACCCACTCCCACTTCTGGATAAATTGCCATGGCGAACTGAGCTGAAAGTTTGGCCCCCTCCTTCCCCCCACAGTCTTCTGGGACACTTCTGGGACCATTCAGGAGGTGCAGCGCATTGGGCACATCTGGGTCATGAGATGCCAGCACCAGGGGAAGAGAGAGAGAAAGGCTGGTGCGGGTGAGCACATTGCTGATCCTGAGACAGGTGAGTATGCGTTTATTAAAAGTCAGCAGCTACTGTTTTTGTAGTTGGTAACTTTTACTAAAAACACAAGTGACTGGAACTCTGAACTCTGCCCAGTGGTCAACGGAGGACCGGTGACAGCTCTATGGCTGGCCGGATGTAAAAGTACTCTGCTGTCCATTTACATCAGGTTACCTTAGAACTGTCATGTTTAGGTCTAGCAAAACGAAAAAGGACTGCGTCCTTTTACATTTTTTTTTTTCTTTTTGAACCAGCACGACTCAGAGGTAGGAGGGTGAAAAACGAACATAAGTCCTTTTACTTCGGCCTCTCCAATGGGCTGCATTGGAGTTTATGATCAGGTCCCCCTGACAGGTGGACCTGATTGGAATGCCTGTGTGAAATGGCGTTTAGAGTTTGTTGGTCTGTGATTTTCATAATTTATTTTTATGTGTGTTTTCAGTTACCCCAGTGTTGAATTGAATATTTACTTTAAACATTAAAATATACTGGATGGCGAAATTCTAGCATGAAGAGGGATAAACCACCTATTAAGTTGTTTTTGTTGTTTGTATCCCCATTACGGAGATTCACACTCTCTATCAGGGGCGAACTGACAACTCATGGGGCCCCAAGGCAAAAAGAGATAATGGGGCCCCCTGTGTCTCCGCCTACACTAAAGCCAAAGCTACACCCACACAACACCCCACCTATATATTGCAGCTCAGCTGCATAGAAAGAGCATTAAAAATATTTAAAAAAAATAATAAAACAATGTCGTGGGGTCCCCCCTCCATTCATACCAAGCCCTTCGGGTCTGGTATGGGTTTTGAGGGGAACCCCCATGCCAAAATTTAAAAAAAAATGGTGTGGGGTCCCCCCAAGATCCGTATCAGACCCTTATGCGAGCCTGCAGCCCGACAGGTCAGGAAAGGGGGGGAGGAGCAAGCGCCCCCCCCCCCCTCCTGAACCCTACCAGGCCACATGCCCTCAACATGGGGTGGTGATTTTGGGGGGTTACCCCCCCAAAGTACCTTGTCCTCATGTTGATGGGGACAAGGGCCTCTTCCCCACAACCCTGACCTGTGGCTGTGGGGGTCTGCGGGCAGGGGGCTTATTGGAATCTGGAAGCCCCCTTTAGCAAGGAGGCCCCAAGACCCCCTCCATGTGAATGAGTATGGGGTACATGGTACCGCTACCCATTAACAAAAGCAAAAAAAGTAGTGTGAATAAAGACAGCAGACAAGGTTTGACAAGTCCTTTATTAAAAGAAGAAAACTAAAAGAATGTTCCCTGAAGTAGATCCAATGTCAATCACGATGCCCGCCGCCGCCGCTACCTGAAAAGAGAAAAGAAAAGAAGGCTCCACTGCCACCGCTGGCTCCCAGCCGTTTGACTGCTCTGGTAGCTTGACAGTTCTTAAATATGTAAGTGGCGATAAGCCCCCTGCCCACAGACCCCCACAACCACAAGCCAGGGTTGTGGGGCAGAGGCAGCAAAAAGGGGGGAATGGGAAAAGTGATTCACAAGAAAAGCGGTTACATCATGAACAGAAAGCGATACCCAAAAATTTCCCAAAAAATTATGCTTTATTACAAAAAATGCATATATAGACATTTAGGGAAATACCTCAGTTAGCCATCACCACAAGATGAGACAATGCAAAAAAGTATGACCTAAAACCAAAATGTAGTTAAAAACAGATGTCATGACCGGTCATGGATATATAGTGCTGTAAATGTAACGACACTTGGTCCAGTACATGAGTCGGGACTATGGACAGACGGGCTCGCTTCCATCCCAGTACACGTGCAGCCTGATGGACACCCAGCACAGGAGTGTATATCTACATCCTCTGCAGGATTACGTGTATGGCGCCAATGCATCTGACTAGTAGTGACGTCACTAACGTGTGACATCAACGTGTTTCGCCGATGGGCATATCTTACTCAACTTTGTCAGGACCCATGAGACGCATTTATATGGGACTCCATTTATATTAGGCTAATTCCCGCCCCATATATGATTTCTGTGGTGAATGCAATCGTTTTTTTATTTAAATGCTATGTGGTATCCTACCGCATACTTGGATGCAGTGAGATACAACTTAGTGAATTGTGTTCAGTGAGCCTCTCAATGGCCCCCTACTGACCCCGAGCCATCGGCCAATGCCCAAATGCCTGAATGGTCAGTCCGCCCCTGCTCTCTATTTGTCCAGCTGATTGCTATTATTATACAGTATGTATATAGTGCCAACGGTTTGCTCAGCACTGTACATTATAATGGGAGACAGTACACGAGACAGTACAATAACAATACAATACAATACACGAGGGGTTCGAGGGCCCTGCTCCTTGGAGCTTACAATCTAGGAGGGAGGGGAGAGTGTTACAGGAGGAAATAGCTGTGGGGGATGGAGTGGTGGGAAGAGCGGAGGAGATCAGCAGTTAGGTGAGGGCGGGGTAGGCTTCTCTGAAGAGATGGGTTTTCAGGGTGCGTCTAAAGGTAAGGAGGGAAGGTGATAGTCTGATGGATTCGGGTAGTGAGTTCCAGAGGATGGGGGAAGCCCTGGAGAAGTCCTGGAGACGGGCATGGGAGGAGGAGACCAGGGAACTGGAGAGTAGGAGGTCTTGTGAGGAGCGGAGAGTGCGTTT